CCCCTAGAGGACGCAGTTCGAAGTTCCCTTGAAAGGGAACTAAAATGCATTTGGAACATTGCAGTTGTGGTGTGACAATTTAAATATGTTGGAAGGAGAATGCCATTTGCAATTATGAAATTTAAATGATTACATTTGAGTCTGTTCCTTGTGCAAGGGAAAATTATGGAAAATTATAGACTCATTGACAAAATAACAGCATGCAGGTTTGGAACAACATGAGAGTGAGTAAATACTAAACTATCCCTTTTAGTGTTTGTCTCAGAAGTGGCGGTGTGTGCGATAGATGTGCTGCGTATCAGTCAGATCTTGAGGGCAGTAGGCATGTGCCAGCTAGACTTCGCCTTCCATGGCACCATCCACTGTGTGCCATATGTCCATTCTACAGAGATTCACTTTGGCGAAAACACTTTTTATGAGGTTGGAACAGCAATCCATGTGCATGAAGCTTTTATACTGGAGTCTGTGTTGATATTGGTTCCTTTTGGGTAGGATAGCCCCTGCCAAGATGCAATTTCTGTCCACCAAAGCTGTCTGATAAAAGTTCATTTCATGGCTTTCTCAAAGTGTGACCGTGATTTCCCATGCTGTTTTTCATGGTTGTTTGTTCTGTAGATCGGAGGACTGGAGCACCATTACCATTTCCATCACAGCAGGGTGGTCCGCAGATCCACCTTTGCCACCAGAGGTGCTCACAGCTTCATTCACATGGACCCGAAGGTAAGCCTTCCCACCTGTGGCCACATTACCATCACCAAACCCTCCACCGATGACAAGAATGACACTTGAAATGCTTGCAAGTTGATGGAATAGTTCACTTAAAAATTAAAAATGTAAGAAAATGTACTTATCCTCGAGCTATCCAGGATGTAGATGAGTTTGTTTCTTCAGATTTGGAGAAATGTTGCATTACATCACTTGATGCTCTGCAGTGAATGGGTGCCGTCAGAATGAGAGTCCAAACAGCTGATAAAAACATCACAATAATCCATAAGTAATCCACACCACTCCAGTCCAGCAGTTAATGTCTTGAGAAGTGAAAAGCTGCATGTTTGTAAAGGCCCTGTTTACACTTGGTATTAAGATGCGTTTTGGTCGATCGGACCAATGAAGACACATACCCGTTTACACCTGGCATTTTAATCCGTCTCTTCTGTCCACTTTCGACCACTTCTGACCAGATTACCCCCTGTGGTGCTGATTACGTCAAGAGGAGGGTAAATGGGCGTATCCCTCTGTCGGCGTCAAAACACGAGCGGGAGGACTAAAGTTATTGCGCACTAATATTACATCTGCTTGTACTTACTGCTGGTGTGTCTACATCACGAAAGCAATCCGGTCGAATGCGTTTTCGACTACCTCTGGAAGTGGTCGAAAGTGGACAAGTTCAAAATGTTTCACACCCCGTTTACACCTGTATTTAGCATTGCCCACTTGTGATCCGATTGACCAAAATGCATCTTAATACCAAGTGTAAACAGGGCCTGAGAAACAAATCCATCAAGACGTTTTTAACTTCAGACTGTTGCTTCCAGTTGAAATATGAGTCCTGTATTCAAAATATAGCTTTCTCCAGTGAAGAAGTCATCTCGTCTGAATCAGGAGAGAAGTATGCACAAATCAAGCACTGGTACAAGTGAAACGAACAAACTGACTAAAACAGATGGTGGAATTTGATGTGAGAGGACATCAGGAGTAGGGATGGGCGATATCTTATCATTTGCGATATACCGGTAAAACTTCTCCCCACGATAAGAATTAGTCTTCCTGCGATAATAACGATAAAGTCTAGTTGTTGACATATTTCTGTGTGCAACAGTGCGGAGCAACATCACGCAAAGCGGACATGAAATTGAGGAGTAGCCTATGTCGCTAAATGAGGAGCTCGAGCTGTAACTGGTTTGGTTAGGGCTGTACAGTGCACAAAAAATCGGTCTGAATAAATGTACTACAGTAGCACGTGTGCGATACAGTTTTGCATGTGTATGAGCCTGTTTACAAAACTTGTCCAACAAAGATATAATTTATTGACATTCTTTTTCTCCAAATTAACTTAATAACATAGTCGAGTGTTTGAAATACTTCTTTTTGTGACCAGACGTGGTTTCATATTACAGAATGATAGTATTATATACA